TAAAGAGCTACATACCTTTTTGTAGGGAATGATAAGCTACGTCGACTAATGCGTTAAAAAATGGATCATCCCATTTAAAAAGACAAATTGAACCTTCATATGTCCTGTACGCGTCCACCTATAAGAAAACTGGTTACATCACATTATTTTCTCCTGGAAACCATTCAATGTTTATCTGTAATATTTTTCGATATCATCAACGGTTTAGAAGACATTTGGAGGGATCTGTATAAATGGCTCAACCTGTAGATATCTTAATAGTCATTATTGAATAAAGTTTCTTCGGGTGACGAAGACTGAAAAACAACATAACAGCACACGGTATGTGAGGTTAATATTTATAAAAATATTAATGAGATCATAACAGTGTGAAATAAGATTCAAGTGTCGAACAACACGAAAAATGGAGTCATCATTCGCACAGAATGTTCAACATGATAAGTAAGTATTCCGATCGGTAAACAGGATCTTCTTAAATCTTCGAATACAAAACTACCAGTATAACATCTAATAAAAAGATACAGTCCTTCTCAATTTTACTTTGTAAAAAACGTAACAAATGTAGTAAATATACATCTTATGGTCAAAAGTGTAGTAAATATAATTCTTATTGTCAAAAGTGTAGTAAATATAATTCTTATTCTCAAAAGATACGCGTGGTACAATTGTCTTCGACCAACTGCCCGACTCGCCTTTCGCGAGTTCCGTGGAGCTTCCTCTCACCCCCTCGGTCGACGGACCGTCTTTGTTTTTCTAGCGGCCGCGAAGCATTTCGGCCGCTTTGGTGACGAAACATTTCTTTTAGGAAACCTCGCAATAACACCTGATATCGGCTCCAGTGTCGGTAAACGGCCTTTTAGTTGTCCGAGGTCACGGTAGTCACTAAAACGGCCAATTCTACCGCGAGGCTCGTTCTCACAAAACACGCCTTACTTACTAATTTCAATGTTTCTTAAAATATTTAAGTATCCCTTTATTTTTAAACAATTCATTAACAACTTCGTACAAGAAATACGGAGAATAACGACATTTAGATAGGATTCATAAAAAATTAAAATTAAACACTAAAATGTGAGTAACATGAATTGTTATTCGATAATAATTAACATATTTCAATTGATATCATTTCCACATCTGGATCAATTGAATTACGTACAATGTCTAATTGACTACACAAAAGTTCAAAATCCTACATTTACATGTAAGTAATGTTGATTGGGTGTTTGAAATATTTTTGTGGAGAAACGTCCATTCAAAAGTTGTCGCTGAACATCAAATAATACAGTTAAACTTCCATGTATTATATAACAATCAGAATTAATTTTTTGAATTCGATTACGTAATTTACATCCTTATAAATAGTTAAATTAATACACAATTAAAGAATAAATTTGTATGTAATAAACAAAAGAACCTTTATTTCAGACAAATCCTTTTCCTGTTTGTTTAATTTTTTGTAATATATTATAATCATATTTCATGTTCCTAATAGTTTAATAAAAACTCACCGCTTTATTATTAAAATAGGATGGAAAACGATACACTTCTTCATGAAAGCTAATATTAAAAGATTGAGTGATTGATTTTATTTCCAGTATCGTGATTGACTAGCTCATTAGTACAGATCACAATTTTTTTATAATATTGTATATCAAATGTCACGAAGTTTTACTAATTTTCAAATAAACTTAGTCCCGGTCGGTTTCGAAGGACTTCAAACCTTCAAAATATCGTCGATCCCCGTAGTGACTTTTCCAAAGGAAAAAAAAAGGTCGTTTCCCGAAAAAATATTAAATTTTTCCGAAAGCCCTTCCGCAAAGTGCTTTCAAGTATCAGTGTCCGGTTGCTTTGGTTTTCGGAGAATATATGTATTATCGGAGGCTTTACGGTTCATACTTGTCACAAAAGTGATATTCGTGAAAATAATGTTTTAAACAAAATGCTTTTTTACATCAAGAGCATTTAACTATCGGTGTTTCATCACAGAGTGCACATTTCATTTCTGTATTCTGTTCGAAAACAAAATCTACAAGATTTACAAAATCTCTTAACTGTTTTTCTGCATAACGACTTTGGTACCAAGAATAATGGAATAGATTTTTATATCTCGATGAAGATAATTTATTATGTACAAATGGTTGTAATTTAATTATATTGTTTCTTACATGAAGGTTAACGTCATAGTTATGCAACAGTACATCGTCGAAAAAACGCCTAACGTAATTCATGCACATCCTGATTCCATAAACATCTAGAGACTAGATTTGTTCAGTGGTACCTGTTGGTACTCTCTTAATTATAATTTCTTTACCCATTGGTTACGCATTATGTACATCTTGTTCACAGTGTCCACTGCAAGAATCGTAACAACACACTTGTTTTGGTTTTAAGAAAAAAGACCTTCCTCAACCAGGTTTTAAAATGAGCTGCAATATTAAAATAAAATCTGTAGTAACTACATATTTATAAATTGATCATTATTAATATATTTTCCGAAAACCAAAGCAATGGTAAGCTGAAACAGCGGGCGTGTGCACGGGATATAAATAATAATAGAAAAAACTGTGAGACTGTAGAGGCAATTTAAAAAAAAATATATCAATGGCGTTGGAATGTAACGCTCGTTACTTTTTGTCATTATGTAAATTTTAATAAGATGTAAAATAAAATTATAAACAAATTTTTTATCATAAACACATTGTGTCTTCTATTGGAAGTTTTCGTGTTGCTCCTCCGGTTTTCGGGGTAGTAAAATGGGCCGATATAAAAAAATACATATCTCTTATTTCGTGGTCCTTTAGAACATATCTGAAAACCAAATCAATCGGAGGCCTTGGATACTTTGGATACTCTCCTTGTAAGTGGCATTAATGATAAACTAGTGGGGTTAGAATTAAAACTTTCCGTTATAACTTAATAACCATTGATTTGTAGACTCGCATCTAGAACTTAGACTACCTTCAATCAAATAAAAAATTCTCTACAACTACATTAAAACTTGGTTATTTCCCAAAATTGGCAAATGGATACAATTAATAAAAATCATGTAACGTTTTTCAAATAACAAAACGTGTACACGAATCTCTTATTTCTCATATAGTATATAAGAAAGTACAAACATTTCCTTTGCAGCAATAAAATATTAGATACCAGAAAAACTTCGTACGGTTCTCTATTAATGGTATTCAAAATAAATGTTTATATATTATTATTTGATAAATAATATCGATATCAATATAAAGTTTATTCAGTATACATTTTTCATTTGTCCTACTGTTATATTGTACATAGAAATGTGTGGATAGTAAAAAAATCCAAATTTGTGCCTCCCTACTGTTTAAATTCATTAAGTCGACAGATTTAACAAATATTTCCTGTAGCACACTTTCCATTAAACAATTCCTGTTTATTTTTACTTCGATTAAGATTTTAAACAAATAAGTATTTTTAAAACGTTAACAAAGTGCACACTAGAATTAATACCTACATTTCATTGCGGATACCCATAATTTCTTGTTCACGCAATGTACGAACTTATCAAACCTGAAGATGAAGTTGTAGAAGATAAAATGAAACTACAAGATTAAATACAATTATATTTTAAGAAAGTTACGATTCCCTAAAATTGACAATAATTACAAGGCCGCATGAACCAATTTCAGTGCCTACTAATTTGAGAATCAGCGGGTTAATACCTCAGCTTCAATTTTTCGTTCGAACTAGTGATGGGCACCATCGACTAAAAACTATCGACTAAGTCGATAGTAACCAACGACTACTTTCAGTCGACTAATTTTTTCAATCGTCGACTAATATTAGTCGCTTGAAGCAACTACTTCAATCGATTAAATTTAGTCGCTTCAAGCGACTCGCTTGAACTATCGAGCTATTGATCGCTATTGACTGGATCTTGATTATTTTCTTCGTGATGCAAACCAATTGCAATTTTTTCATATATTTTTTTATGCATTACCAAGAACTGTACAAATTATTCCTTGTAACCTAATTGATTCACATAAAAAATTTAGAACAGTTAATTTTTTAAGTGCCAATAGTAAATAGCTTACAAAAAATCGAATATTAGTAATTGTTTAAAAAAACTTGTTTACCACTTATATTTTTGAAATTCTATCTATGAACTAATACATTTCTAGAAGGTAAATACACCAATGGTGCTGAAAAGTTGACGACATAATCTATACATAACCTATAAAACAAAATTTCAGTCGACTACAAACTATCGACTAAATAGTCGATGGTACGTTGCCACTAAATAGTCATTATTCGATAGTTTAATTTAGTCGATGGTGCCCATCACTATGTAGTTCGAACAAGCGGACAAATCGTTCTGGAAACCACCCTTTAATGTATCGTTCGAAGAAACGAAGAAAACATGTACATGTACGTGTGTGAAGGTCCTCGAGCCTTTGGACAGATCGTTCATCCCTGATGTCGTCCTTCGGGAAAGGTCCAAGAATGGTCGTTTCCCGGACGTTCTAAAATTTTTGCTAAAACCCGTCCCCGCGGATTTTTCTAAGTGTGTTCAATGCCCCCCCCCCCTCTCAGTTTGATAGTCATAAAATACGCTATGTATATACGCATGTACCCGCGGAGAGGCGGGCGACGGTGCACGGAAAAGAGAGGGAAAGATCCCGATGGCCTCGGCGTGCCAGCTCCGCCTCGCGAGGCGCGCGGCCACCAAGTGAAAGTTGGATTTTGCTTTCTATCCGTGGCCAGTGACAAGCGCGCCGTGCTCGCGAAACGTCTCATTTCTTCTGTACGAGGATGCGTCTGTCCCAGGTGCCTCGATAACCGTTGACGGCGCGCAAATGAACGTCGGGAATCGAAAACCCGCAGAAAATCGACGTCAGTGAACGATGAATCTGTCATTCTGACAATTCGGGCGAACTGCCTAAAAATTTTCGTAGAAAGTGTTGTGTTTTGTTTTTTTTTTGTTTTGTTGCGATCAGTGCGGGTGATTCGAACACAGTTGGTGTGAAATGTCGAGACTTAAAGGAAACGATGGCTGGCCCGTCGAAACGACTCTGACGTGTCTACTTCTCGTCTGCTGCTTCCTCGCTGCCAACTGTAGGCAAGGTACGTTTTGCCAAAAAATACCCCCCTGGATCCTGCTGTTGCAACCCAACACACAACATTTGAGCATATCGTTTCGCGTACCGAGCGTCAGGTAGCGCTGACGTCAAGAAGCCGCGCGCGCGCACGCAATCCTTTCACGGTTACAGCGCAGAGGAAACGTGAACGTCCTCGCGGACGTGTGGCATGGGTTCGCGGCGTGATTAATGGGATTCCAGGTTGAATTTTTACTGGCCCGTCAGCCTCCTATGGCATTCCTCTCGGTGTATGTATGTATGTACATTGTTACCGGGTGATTTGTAACCCGCGCTGTGCCGAGCCACAGAGTTTGTTCAACCGTCACCGTTGAAATGTTCCGTTCGATTTTGACGACGTCACGCGGGTAGGATCGAGTAGGTGGTATTTATGTAATCCCGCTGGTTTGACGGTGTACGGTTGTCACGATCCACTGGTCACACAGCCTTTCTGTGCCTGATTCGTATTCCTCAAATTTTTATGCAGTCGATGGGCGTGAAATGTTAATGCGTCGATGAAAACCGAAACTGATAGTCCTGAAATGGTCTGAGGCTGTTATAACCTGTCGAAGGTGCTGTCAGATAAATTATGTTTGTTTCGCGGTAAATAAATGATCGTTTGACTTAGTGAAAAACTGTTTTTTTTTTAAAGCGGAGATAGAGAGAAATTCATTTCACTTATTAACAAATTTATTAAACTAAAAGTAAATTAAACTGTATTAGTCTTCCTCACAATCTTCGTTTTGTTGAGTTTGCGGGTACCATAAATACATAAAATTTATGGTTTAAAGGTGATTAGACCTTATATAGTTGAGGTTAATTATAGTAGACGCCTTATCGATTGAATTTGTTTTTAAAAAAACCAACTTGTATTATAATGATATGCACTCTTGTTTTCCGCGATATTTTAATAACCAGATGAATGATATTTTAAGCTTGTATTGCACAATCAGTTTATTGGAAACAAAATAGTGACTCATTCATTGAGGCAGATAATACTGACACAAATAACGATCGGATATTTACTGCATATCAACCTAATAACATTTCCAGTTTCGCTGCTATTTTTTAAAAGTATCTCTTATACGAGAATATAAACATTGTTCCATAGAAATTTAAAAAGAAGGTCAAATAATAATGCAAATGGTCGCCAGTACTTAAAGGAATGCCACAAAAATCATGAAAAGTACAATAAACTAAACAAAGTGACAGTTGTATGTGATGCGTGTAATTAATATGTGTATGCGAAACACGATTGATCAAGGAGATATGATTTTCAAAGTGACAGTGTCCGAGTTGCCTGAAGTTCCATTTTGAAACAATTTCTGTATTTTGAAAAAATTTACTTATAGAACTACTTATTTACAATAGATTTGTTTACTTTTCATGGAATAATTTATCTTAGGCCCTTTATTCTGAGATATATGTATACAATATACATATGTATAAAGTTTCCGCAAAATATTTAGGTGTTTGATATGTGGGTATATAGTTTGTTATATGGTATAACCCCATGATAATTCACGTAACACAAAAAAGCTTGGCATTGCGAGGGTTAAATTTGGTATGACTTGCCCGTATTTGTTGCACTGTAGGTAGTTACAAATTATCACGTTTCTCTAATTTATTTCCCATTCTGGTAGTTTCACAGAAACAGTATAAAAGTATTCAAATTTTCTTCATTATAGAGAACTGGATTTTATGACTCGATCAGTTTTCGAAAGGGCTTTCGAATGGTGAGGGGGTGGCCTTGATGATAAGAAAGACACCAGGTCCGTCGTGAATTTTTTTATTTTTTACCAAGACCATTTGGAAAATAAATGAAATTGCACTAAAAAGGTGAATATAATGAAAGTTATAACAAAAACAAGTACTGATCCAATATGAACAAATATCATAGACCGTATCTATAAAAATATATTGTTATTTTTTAATTAACAGTTATTATGAAATTCTTATATAGCAGAACAAAAAAATATGCGAAAGTGTACTTCTTTTTCGTATCAGTATAAAATATCCTATAATAAGACTGGACGAATTGATTAACTTCTAAAAGAATATAAATTCTCTTCGTGATTTAAGGTTATGAACCCTTTACCTGCTGCGGAACTGACTAAAAAGTGCTACCGCCGTATGATAGTTCAAATATATAAGTAAATAAATATAGCGTGTTCTTCTCGCTGCGCAAATTCAAAAGCTGCGATTGTATGGGCGGCACGGCCTTTGGTTTGCGCAGCGAGAGGATCACCCTATGCCTAATATTAATTGACTAGTGGCCAGCATGTTAACAACAATGAAATATTCCTTTGTTTATTTCATGCAGTAAATAAATGAATGTGATTACAAGACTGCGGATGTTTTTGCGAACATCTATTATCATGAGCTGTTTTACAGAAATCAGAGTCATGGAAGAAACAGTGTCTACAACTAGAGGATGTATTGAATCAACACTATACATATAAAGAAATTTGATCAGTATATGTAAAAAGTTTGATGTCATTGCACTTTCTCACCCTTGTTTCTGCCATAAATGAATAAACATCAGCAGTCTATGTAGTGATTACCGTCAGTGGGTATTCAACCGATCTCTCTTATACAATAATAAGTAATGTGCGAAACAGAATTACTGTAGTAACGTTTCGTTCAGAACGTTCACTTTGCAGAAACTCACTACATATAGCAGCACGAAGTAGTTACAGGGTTAACCCTCATCCGTCCCACATTTTCCCAACTTAATTTGTCCCTCGGTGTCAAATTATCACACTGGTAGAAAAGTAATATAATGAAGAGTTAAAATAGGAGTCACGGAGCCTCAGCTAAAACCTACAAATGACAGAATAACGTCATTTCTTAGAAGAAAAATGTGTCCATTTGACACAAGGAACGCACGAGGGTTAAATGATCCGTTACCAAAAATTTATTTTATAATTTCAAATTATATTTCATTAATCGATCAAACATTCTTTTAAATACCCCGTAAACCACTATAACATGGTTTAATGAAATCCAAAATGAAAAGTTTCTTTACCTCTGTTTCTATAGACACAGCATTTTATTCAACTTCAGTGCAATTTTATTATTTCAAGTCCACATTTCCTCAATAAACAATTTCAAGGAAAAAGAAATCTTCTCAATTTCCAATTAAGAGGTTCATACTTCGAAGAGAAAGAAAGCTACAATACACATAAATAAATCCGTGAACGAGATAAACAATAGATGGCCATCGGTACAACACAGGCTCGTTTGAATTCGCGAGCCTGCATGCAACAATAGAACCGCAATTTCATACGAGAGTTGCGTACACCACGATAACGCAATTCGATCTCCATTGTTGGTCGCAATAACAAGATGAATAGCTATCACGATTCCCTAAAACGGATATATCTAATTCGACATTGTGGCTGGCATAAAGGCGGATTGAAAATTGATGCAATTTACATATTATTCTGCCATTACCGCTCCATTGTGTAACAATTGCGAAGATGAATATCGAAATAATTGTTAAATACAAAATACATGCAAACGAGTTGTAGTGTTTAACCATCTAGGGACAAGAATGTCTTTAAATGTCAAATGTATTTTCCATATGAAATGAAATTACACAAGGTATTCACAGTGAAGAGAAACAGGGAGAAAATGTTACAAGAAAATGTTGCAAAATGTTATAGAAAATGTTATAACAAAAACAATAAGTCTAAGAATTATTCGTCGAATGCTGTTTATCGAAATTATGAAGACGGTGCATATGGAGCGTTTTCAGAAATGAAACTTTAACCACACGTAGTTTCTTCAACGCTGTTTAAATGCTATTTCTCTTGTTATTTGTCGTGTTTTATTCTCAATAATGTCTCTTAAAACATTATTGTCGAAGGAAATTTCTGGCCTTCCTCTTGATTCATTTTCTAATGAAATACCATCAGCCTTGAATTTACGAACCAACGTTGAACTGTCCGAACATTTACATAACCTTCTCCAAATGCTACATTTATGTTTTCAGCAACTTTTGTAGTTCCTACTTGTTCCAACTTTAAGCTCGTATAAAAAGATCACGCGAATATTTTGATTATTCATGACGGGTGGTAATGAAGTTTTAATATTTTTATTATATGTGTGTATATATATTTTGTTAGTAGTCAAAACACGTTTATTACTGCGTATTCCTTCTTCTTTAATATGGTTTAAAACCATAGAGAACCGGACAAATGGATATTATTGCCTCGACAAATTCGAACTCCAGAGAAACAAGATTTCATACCCAGATAGCACCGTACATCCTAAGGACATCCGTTTCATCTCCAGTTTATATCCGAATGTCCTACGTCCATTTTGGACATCCCTAGGACGTTCGTAAGACTTAAATTTCGGATGTTCTAGAAAAATCCGTCCCAAAAGTCCTATGGATGTTCTCAAGACTTCAATTTTGGATGGTTTCGTTTAGTATTTTTGCCAATGTCATTCCGTGCAAGGTGATGAAACCCCATGAACAAGGTGTCAGTCTTTAAAGAATCAATAGTGAAGTGTAACGACACTAGTGGTTTTGTGCGAAAACCTCAAGAAAGTTGAAAAAACATGTTTTTTCTTAAACTGTCTCTAACCAACACACAATCAGAGTTTTGCTGTGAAAATATAAATAAATACAATGTACTTGGAGATCATAATCCCCAGACCTACATTTTCATTATAATTCCTTAAAGGAAATTTAACCTTTTATTTATTAACAGGAACTGATTAGATCTAATTTCTAGTAAGTGCTGAAATTGCAGGAAAGTCAATCTTTTATTTGTTAAACACAAACCAACTTAACCTAACTCCTGTCACCTTGCACAGAATGAAACCTAACCGCAATTTTAAACATTTGGGAAATGTTTCTTATACGTCTTTTAAGACATTACCATAGCGTTTTTAAAATCTCTTTAAACGTTCCCAAAACGTACAGGGAATGTTACTTTTACACATTCGGGAAATGTTCTAAGTTATGTTGACACAGGA